ACGCCCTAACCTTTGCAATAGAAATTGACAGGATTAAAATCGACTGGTATAAATACAGATGTAACAAGACAATAAACATCAGATCCTGATCAGATCCTAACCAGAACTTCGCTGGAGATCCCGACCAGAACTTGGCTGGAGATCCTGGCTAGAGGTCCTGACGAGGATGCTGATCGACTGAAGGCTGTCTCCGTGTCATTCCTTCTTCGCCGACTCCGTCCACACCTTTGGGGACCCCTGGACCTGCTGGGGTTGGACCCCAGCAGGTATCGTCTCACTCTGACCACTGGGTAGACTGGCTCTTGGATCTCCAAGGAGGTGAAAAGTCAGCCACTGCCTGAGGCCACCCATCAGGAGCTACAGAGAGATCTGCAAATTCCTCCTCTTTGTTTGGGGTTTGGAAGTGCCCAGATGAGGCCCAGCTGTGAAGCATTGCAGGCTGCTGTCGAGCCTTAGGCCTTCTTTTGGAAGCTCTGGGGCTCTTTGACCCAGCAGCTGTTTGTTAGTTTTTAGATTGCAAAAGAACAGACCACTCATATGCAAAAGCCTCTGCTCACAGCTTGGGTGGGGTTGTAAATTGGGTGGGACAGGGTCTCAGGGAATCATCAAGGGGGAACAAACCGCAATGGCTGCCAGTCTGCTCTGCCTCTGAGAGGTTCCTGGGTGTGTCCTGCAGCCCTGTGCAGGAACAATGATCGCTGCAAGCACCTCTGCGAGAAAACTGCCCTCGCATTCCTGTGCTGTTGCCAAACAGTCCAGTTTCTCCCGTATGAGTCTGGGTCCCCAGAGTCTCTCCCGGAACTGGAGTTCAGAGCAATCAGGAGCTTGTATCTCTCTCCCGATTGAAAAAGACAACAGTGTATCCAGTTGCCAGCCCATTTCCATGCGCGCCTCTGTATCTCTGCACTTTCGCACCTCCACACCTCCTATCAGTTTCAATGCACTTTTCTCTTTCCTTCTATTTGTAGAACTTCCACTCAGCCAGCCTTCCCGTGGTTCTGGATGATATCTGTTTTGTCTATTAGTTGTAGTTTTGATGTGGTTGTGTGAGGCAGCAAGTACAATTGTGTACCTATGCTGCCATCTTAGTTTCTCCAATAGCAACTCTTTTTTGAAAGCAAACATTTATTGTGATTTTCCACTGAAGTTGAGAATGTACTAGTCAAATCACATTAATCAGAATTTGAAATAAAGTTTTTCCTAGCTTTGATGCTGTGTATTGACCAAAGTTAAGAACACTGCTTTTTGTTATATTTACTGAGCATTCTGCTGTGTGCTATTTTTATTCCTTTTTGGTTGTCACTTTGTTATTACCATGGAAATAATCTAAATAAGATTCTGGTTAAAAACAATCATTTTTCTCCTAGATTTATTTATGGAATTTTACCTTAAAATTATATACCCATGGACCTCCCTGGTCACAGGGATGACTGGCAGCCATTTCTATTTGTTATGCCCTGGTGATTCCCTGAGACCCCACCCCATCCAATTTTCAGCCCCACCTTACCTGTGTACAGCAGCTTTTGCATATGAACGGCCTGTCCCTCCTCAGGCTTCAGACTGTGCTAAAATCGCTCAAACAAGCTGAAACTAGGTCATGGAGCCCCAAACCTATCAATAAAAGGCCCAAGACCTGGCACTAGTACCAGCCTGCCTTGCTTCATAGCTAGGCCTTGCCTGGGAACTTCCAAACCTAATACAAAAAGGAGGAATCTGTGGATCTCTCTGTAGCTCCTGCTAGGTGGCTCCAGGCAGTGGCTGATTTTGCACTTCCCCAGAGACCGAAGAACCAATGCACCCAGTGGTCAGTGTCAGACCATACTAGATTAGAGCTCTACACATCCAAGTGACACACTCAAGGGGCAGACTCAGTGAGCACCAAAGCCCCACTGAAGCAAGTGCTTCTCCATAGGGGTGTCTCCTGCATAGCAGCTCTCCCACTGGAGTTGCAGCTGGTACCCACAGCCAGTTGGCCTGGAGGTCAATTTCTCCCAGTGACATCAACAGCAATCAAGTCTCAACTACAATAAGACTGTGCATGCAACCCACAGACGGGTGCACCAAGAGTGTCCACCTCAGGTGATTGGGGAGGCTGAGCCACTGAGCCCTATAGGAACCTACTACACAAGGCCACTCTATCAATTCAAGGAGACATAGCAACTCTACCCAGTACATAGAAACAAACATAGGGACGCAGCCAAAATGTGGAAACAAAGAAACATGTCACAAATGAAAGAAGTGGGAGAAAGCAAACTACTGGATATAGAGTTCAAAACCACTGTTATAAAGTTACTCAAGAATCTTCTTGAGACCTCCAAGGGACTTTAGTGAGCATACACTGATTGGAATAAAGAATAATTTACAGGTATTCAACTATAGAGGATTCTGAGACTCAAATCAATTATTTGAAATATGAGGAAGCAAAAATCACCCAAACAGAACAGCAAAATGGAAAAAGAATAAAAAAATATGAAGTAAGTGTAAGTTTGACATGCTTGATGTGAGGAGCTTCTGGGACAAATTCAAGCATAACAACATTCACATCATGGGGGTGTCAGAAGAAGAGCAAGATATTGAAAACCCATTTGAAGAAATAATGACAGTAAACTTTCCCTACTTGGTGAAAGAAATAGACTTACCAGTCCAGGAAGCATAGAGAGTCCCAAACAAGAGGAACCCAAAGAGGCCCACATCCAGACATATCATAATTAAAATGCTAAGGGCTAAAGACAAAGAGAGAATCTTAAATGCAGGAAGAGAAAAGCAGTTAGTTACCTACTAGGGAGCACCCATGTGACTCAGCAGATTTCTCAATAGAAACTAAGCAGGCCAAAAGGGAGTGGCAAGAAATATTCAAAGTGATGAATAGCAAGGACCTACCTCCAAGATTACTCTACCCAGCAAAGCTATCATTTAGAATTGAAGGTCAGATAAAGAGCTCCACAGACAAGATAAAGGTAAAGGAGTTCATTACCACCAACTTAGTATTACATGAAATGTTGAAGGTTATTCTTTAAGAAGAGGAAGAAGAAGAAGAAAAAGATAAAAAATATAAACAATAAAAAGGCAATAAATACATATCTATCAACAATTGAATCTAAAAATAAACAAATAAGAAATCTAATCAACAGAATAAACTGGTAAATAATATAGAATCAGAGGCATGGAGATGGAACAGACTGACGAATCTCAGAGGGAAGGCAGGGTGGGAAGAGATTAAACAAAGATGGTTATGCAAGTATGCATTACCTATGGACACAGACAATAGGGTGACAAAAGCCTGGGGTGGGGCGGGAACCCCGGGTGGAGGGGAGCAGTGGAGGGGGGGGAGAGGCCATCTGTAATACTCTCAACAATAAAGATTTACAAATAAATTATATCCCCATGGAAGCTTTTGTGGCAATACCCTCCAAGTGAGTGTCAAAAAATTGGGTTCATACCTTGCTTTATCTTTCCTGCACTTTTTTTTGCCTTCTAGATGAGAGGAGAGGAGTGGATGCATTCTTGCCAGGGATTTGCAACCAGGTCTCCAGACCTGGATCAGAATTTAAAAAAAAATTTTGATACAAGTTTTAATACAAGTAGAAATCTTCCCAAAGGTCATGAATTAGTTTTCATTAGAGACTTAAAGTAATTTTTTTTAAAAAATTCAGGCAAATAAGCTTTGATTTAACATTAAAGTGTTTAACTGTCCTGTCAAGGCACCATTTTACATTCCAACTACATTGCTTTTTTATTCAATCTGAGAATTTCTGCCTTTTTTTTAAAAAAAATTAATTCTCGCTTGAGGATATATTTATTGATTTTAGAGAGAAGGAGGGGGAGAGAGAGAAAAAACATTGATGTGAGAAACATCAATCAGTTGCCTCCCGTTTGCACCCTGACCAGGTATCAAACCCACAACCTAGGTATGTGCCTTGACTGGGAATCGAACCCACAACCTTTTGGTATACAGGATGATGCTCCAACCGACTGAGTCACTCGGCCAGGGCAAATTTCTGCCCTTTTTAAAGCAGGATTCAGACTGTTTGGGGATTCCTCCTTCTGAAGGTCTTGCGTGTCCCTTTCTTCCTTGGCCTCAGATAATCCTCACATATGAGCATTGTGGATCAGAATTTTTGTGTTTCCTAAAGGCATCTTGACTTTCATAATCTAGATTTGGCAGACATCAAGTTTTGGGCAAAAATGGAGGAAATGGTTTCAGATATTTCTGTCAAGACCAGTATTTTTCAACCATGTTCATTTATAAACTCTTTAAATTACTCAGGCACATTCAAGGAGGAAAGGAGAGATTTGTCTCTAACTGCTGATGTAAACCGGCAATTAACGGGGTGGAGAGGGAAAGAACAAGGTCCCAGAGAAACCTCTGGAAGGAAGAGAGAGAAGCTATTCTCTGTGCACTTTCTGTGTCTTGGGCTCCAGCCACATACTACTCATCATTCTTAAACATACTGTGCCATTTCATAGTATAGAAATAGACATATCAAATAGCTCTAGACAATGTGAGAATAGGAAATAAAAATGAAAATGAGATACCCTTTTATACCCATCACATTGGCTAAAGTATTTTAAAATCTACTCTGATGACATATTATGTGTTGTAAAGATGAAAACTCTCAGACTGTTGAGAGAACAACATCTTTGGAGAATAAATTAGTAATGTCTAGTGACATTGAGAATCCTCATGTCCTACAGTCCTATAGTATAGTCAGCCCTCTGTATCCATGGGTTCTATATCCGAGGGTACCGCATCCTCAGAATCAACTGGATGTGGACTGAAAACAGTCTTTTCAACCTGCAGGTGGGAATCCATGGACTGCATACATTGTGTGTGTGTGTGTGTGTGTGTGTGTGTGTGTGTGTGTGTGTTTAGAAGACTGTGATTTTATTTTCAAATATTTGGAAATAGTTTACATACATTGTTGTACACCATTTTATGTAAGGGATTTAAGTATTCATGAATTGTGGTATCTGTATGACTGTACTCTCAAATTTCTGTCTGCCTGTTTTGTTTTGTTTTAAAGGGGGAGAGAGAGAGAGAGAGAGAGAGAGAGAG